ATTTTTAAAACTATTAAGTTTGACGTTTGTGATATATTTATTTGAAAAACATTTTAATGTCATAAATTTATTGCGCTAACGTTGTAGTTTTTGTTTTTGGTTTTGGTTACGTTAAGTTTTCAATGATCTATAAAGAGCTAGCCTAACTTAATATTAATAAGAAATACAATACACTGTTCATTACGAAAAAAGGAAAACTCAAGCAAGCTAATTTAAGGAAACGAAAATATGTCTAAATTTAGCGCTCATGTTTCTTTGCTATTCATTGTTGTAGCTTTGGTGGGTGCGTTTGTTCCTGTTTTTTCAGTCGATGAAGGGGAAGTAAAAACATTATGGGATACTTGTCTTGTGAAAATCACTCCTAAGTGTGCGTTGAATATAATCGCGGTTGTCTTCGGAAATGGAACGCTCTCTGATCTTTGTTGCAGCGATCTCGTCAAAGAAGGAAAATTGTGTCACGATACACTTATAAAATATATTGCGGACAGACCTAGTTTGATTGCCCATGAAACAGAATATCTGAAGAAGAGAGATGAAGTATGGAATCATTGTGTCTCAATCTCTAAAACTCTTTAAATATGTATTGCTTATACTATTTGGACCAATTAAATTGATATTTCTTTGTTGTTCAATTTTTTATTACCTGTAATATTTATCTTTTCTTTAAAAAAGATTTAAAAGAATAATAGCAAATTAATTATTGTGCAAGTATATACCTTTAAGTTTTTTTACAGCTAGATTATGAAAATGATTTTCAAAATACACATTAAGCGCAACATGTTAATGTTGAATGATTTAAAATATAATATATAAATTGATTTAAAAGTATTTATATTTTGTATAATTCAACAATGTTTTCTATAAATTCTTGATCTTAAAATTGAAATACCCATTTTTCATATTTATAAGTTTTTTTGGAAATGTAAATAAACTATAACCATTGCCTTCATTTTTTAGCTCAATACCTTTAAATCAAAGCTTTATACCAATACCTAAAGATTGTTTCAAATTATC